TTCTATACGGTGTGGTTCTGTGCTGATATAAAAAAAATAGACCCGGAACAATTGAAAACTGCAGCTCCCTGGGAGGGGAAAATGTTAATCTATCACCTGGGACAAATCCACAATCCAGGGTATAGGCAAGATTTCTGAAGAAGAAAATTCTCACTGAAGACGCACCAACAGAACAGAAAGGACAAAACACGAAGGTGAGACTCATCAGGTTCTACACATTGGGTAAGTCGGGACTGTATTAGTTCCCTGTGACTGCTATAACGAATCACCACAAATGGGATGTCTTAAAACAACAGAAGTTTGAAATCGAGGTGTCGGCAGGACCACGCTCTCTGTGAAGGCCCCAGGGGAGAGTCCATTCCTCACCCCTTTCAGCTTCTGTGGCTCCAGGCGCTCCTTGGCTTATGTTCACATCGCTCTGATCTCTGCCTTTGTCTTTACGTCACTTCCTCCTCTGTGTAACTCAAAGCTTCCTCTGCATTTGCTTATAAGGATACATGTGATTGAATTTAGGATCCACCTGGGTAATTCAGAACAAGTCTCTCTTCTCAAGATCTTTACCTTAATCCTATCTTCACCCATATATGGTGATATTCTCTGTTTTGCCATATAAGATAACATCCCCAGGTTGCAGAGAATAGGACATGGAATACCCTTTGGGGGGGCAACACCTACCTAGTGAGAATAGAGCAACCTGATGAAGACTTTAAACTGAAATTGTTTAAAATGCTCAAAGAGATATAGATAGGAACCAAGTCCACAGGACATTAAGAAAAAAAAACTAAGACTAAGACAGTATGAAGAAGGACTAGGCAATTTTGGAAAAAAACAAGACAGAAACTCCAAGAATGAAAAATAGAGTAACTGAAATAAGAGGTAAGTAAACTCAGTAAATTAAGCAGAAGAATAGACAACAGCTCATGAAGGAATAAGAGGTCTGAAAAGCCTTTCTGAAGAAATGTCCCTAAATGCTGCAAAGACAAATAATAACAAGAGATCATGCATGGAGGGGAGAATGAGAAGCTCCAACATATGTCCACTCCAAGCTTTAGAGGAGAGAAACAGTATGTCCTTGAGAAATGCATCAAAGAGAGAAAGGTGGGATGAAACTGTACTAAAGAAAGACGCAGGTCCCAAGATTGGGACTAAGTCCCACTAACGAAGTGTTAATATAAAAAACATGTCTATACCTATACATCCTGTAATGAAACTGAATAATATGAAAGACAAAAAGAAAATCTTAAATGTTGCTAGAAAGAAATGACAGCTGATCTAAAGAGGAAGGAAATCGTGTTGACAGAAGATTTTTCATAACCAACACAAGCTGTCAAACAATGGAAATAGTATTTCCAAAGGCTGGAGGAAAATGATTGCCAAACTGGGCTTCCATTGTCAGCGCAGGTATTCCACTGGATTGTGATGGACAGTAAATAGAGATCCTTATCTTACTTCCTGGGTATCAGTGAACCTTCGGACCTGTGGGTTACCCTGGGAAAGGCACACTCAGTGATGCCTGAGATTGGTTTTGCTCTTGCAGAATGTGAGCCTGAGTCAGATATAGCCTGATCTAAAGGAAATGAAGCAAGTGACATTTTGCACAGTTGGGTTTGGTAGCTACAAATCCATATCTACTATAGAAGAAAAGGGGTGCGGTTGTCCTCCCAGAGGCTGTTATATTGTCTGTGTGCAACTGACTTTAAAATCAGTGTATATAGCATGATGTGTGTGTTTGTGTACAAGTTAAATCTTGCCTGTTCCCTAGAGGGGACCAACACGAACAGGGCCCATGTGAGAAGTGACTGTAGTAGTTAATTGGTATTTAAAATATTGCTATCAATACCAAAGGAAAAAAGGAATAAAAAGGATATTAGGTACTTTTGGTTTTTTTTTTTTTTTTTTGAGGAAATGACTGGTTGTGAAGACTGAGGATTAGAAGCACTCTACTGTACTTCAAGCAGGCACTGACATTCCTGCATAAAGGGGGCAGAAGAATGTGGCAAGTCCAGCTCTTTAATGCCAGGAGTGTGGCTTTCAGTCACCAGCTCTCCCTGGGTCCTCTGTTAGCCCTCCCTGTCAACTGATCTGAACAGGTGCTGGGCTGGTCCTGGCATTAGCACATCCTTGCATCTGCTTTTGAGTGTGATTCCATGCAAAGACAGGGAAGGGAAGTTCCTGGTCTACATAGTAGGCAGGTAATCTGGATAATAAATAGCATTGCTTGTTTGGAAGAATTTGGTCTGAACCTTGCTTTCATTGTAAAACACTACCTGTAGTGTAGATGGGGGATGGAGGATGGCACCTTTAGGCCTCATGTGGCTCTAAGCATGGGAGGCTACCAAAGAACTTCACATTAGGCAAAGGCCAACTTTGCAGAGACATTATTGTAAGAGAGGTGTTCCTAAATCCCAGTTCTAACATCACCCCTTTTCTAGCTCCAAAAGCCCTTCTTTAGGCAGCTCCCTCTACCGGCAGGCTCTCCCTCCTGCAGACTGCTGAGTGAAGGAGGATGGTTTAGCAGCCCTGGGCCCTAGGAAAGCACCAGAAAGACCTTGCTGGCAGCTTTGGCTTGATTTGGGTCTTCAGAGTGGCCAAATTCTTACCCTATCCCTAATGACCAAAGTCCTCCTGCCTCAGACCCCAGGTTCAATTTCCTAGAGACCACCTTGAACACCTCCTTGAACGTTGAATCTTGGCTTTAGCTGCTGCTGCTAACCTCATTCCTACAGAGCTGGGCCACTGATATGCTTCCTCCTGGTCTCTGCTTCCTTATGCCAGCCAGGTGCCTGCATTTCTGCCCATGGCCTAGAGCTGAGCCTCCACATTCTTCAATCTCATAGTTGCCTGAGGATTAAGTGAGTTAATATACAAAACTCCTCGGCAAATAGCAAGCATTATATTCATTGGTCAGTTTCTTTTGACTTAACTTTTTGATAAGTTTCTTAACTCTTAGTGCCTCAGTTTTCTTACCTGTAAACTGGGGATGGTAATAGTACCTACCTCCTAAGACAGATGTAAGGGTTGGCTGAATTAAAATACTGCAGTGCGTTGAGTAGTGGCTCCCAAAAAATATGCCCACCTCCTAATCCCCCAGAACCTGCGAATATTACCTTATATGGCCAAAGATATGATTAAGTTAAGGATCTTGGGAGAAGGAGTTTATCCCGGACTATCTGGGAGAGCCCTAAATGCAATCACATGTATTCTTACGAAATAGATACCCAGAGGAGAAGACACATAAAGAAGACCAGCAGGTGATGTGATCGGGGAGGCAGAGATTGGAATGATATAGCCACATGCTAAGGAATAGGAAGGAACAGATCCTCCCCTAGGGCCTCCAGAGGGATGCAGCTCTGCCAACATCCTACTTTCAGACTTCTGGTCTCCAGGACTGTGAGAGATGAAACTTCTGTTATCTTAAGCCACCTTTTTTACAGTAACTTGTTACAGCAGCCACCAGAAACTAATATGCATACCTACCACCCTGGTACAGAATAAGCATTCATTTTGTTAGTTGATTTAATCTAGAAGTAATTATGTCTATTTTAATGAGAAGCATTTTTCTCATCTAAGAAATTAGGCACCCCTGCATGGAAGGGGTGTTTGGAGGGGAAGGCTAGGTGGGATACACAGGAAAGCAGGTTAGGGCTCTGCAACACTTAAATTTAGCTTTGGAATTTGAATTGATACCATCGTAATTGTACCAATAATAGGATGATAATAGTTCAAATTGGGTTATGGGTGGCCAAGGCATTAGTGCCTAAACTTTCCTCCTTTAATCTACAGTTTCCGGGAGTGGGATATACACTTTGATCCCATGGGGACACATAATCCTAGTTGGATGTTTGGACAAATTGTTTCCCCCCTTGTACAGATTTGAATTCCCTGCTGAATTTTAACCTGATATATCTTTTTTAACTCAAGGAAAACACATATGTGCTACTGAGAAGAGGTGTTCAAGAGACAAAGTTTTTGAGGAGTTTGAGTTCTGGATGGTCCACTGCCAAACCCGACATTGCTGCACCTGTGTTGCCCAGATGCTGCTGGGCCTCTCTGAGGGTCTCGGAGAGGCCAGACCCTGGGAAATGCAACCGAAATACTGAGAAACGAGAGTGTGGGTGGACCTCTCTGACGGCGAGGAAGAGAGATCTACAGGACCCCTGCTGAGCCACCCCATTTTGTCCTCCCTCGCCACTACGATTTTAGAAACATGGCGCACAGAGAGCCTGAGAGAGTGGCACTTTTAATTCAGTTCCTTCTGCTCCCAGGTCATTCAGATCCTCAGAGCTGCCCAACCACAACGGGATGCCACAATACACATTTATTTCTCTTGGGAGGTTTCTTAAGTCTGATCTTCTAGAAACCACGATGATTCCATCTTTTTGCTCTGCGTTGTCCAACATGGTAGCCACTCATCACATACGGCTACTTAAATGTAAATTATTAAATAAAATTTCAAATTCTGTTCTTCAGTCACACTGGCCACATTTCAAGTGTCTACTAGCCACATGGGGTAGACGCTCTCACATTAGTGAGAGCAGATTGAGCATTTATATCACTGCGGAAAGTAAAGCAGTGATGTTCTAGTTATCCAAGACATAAGTTGAAAGTATCAGACTGATGGAGAAATCATCCAGGAAACTAGTATCTAAGGCCAGTTACTCTTGCTACCTTCCACTAGTGAACACTGCAGGCATCTTCAGTGACCATATCTAAAAATACATGCATTAGAGCTGGGTACGGTGGCATGCACCTGTAGTCCCGGCTACTCAGAAGACTGAGGCTGGAGGATTGCTTTAGCCCAGGAGTTTGAGGCTGTAGTGCACTATGATCACACCTGCGAATGCCACTGTGCTCCAGCCTGGGCAACACAGTGAGACTCTGTCTCTAGAAAACAAACAAACAACAAACAAAAAACCATAATACTACATTCATATAGAAAAAAGAGCACACCATGCTTTGTGGAAATTCTATACATTTTTAAGAAGTAATCATCATACCACTTTTAGTCTCTCTTTTGGAGGATGTTATTTATTGTAAGACATCATTTATATTAAATACACTGTAGTACAAGAGACTTTCCATGTCAGGTTGAGAGAAGCTGGTCACATGATTTACAAACAAAACTTTTTTTTTTTTTTTTTGAAACACTGTATTCAGGTGTCACTTTGAAATCAGCCAAGATGCAGTGGGTCTTAGTAAAGCAATGGACCTCAAAACAGATTGTAAAACAAGAACTGGTAAGTATTGGCACAGAGACGTCACATTAAAAGGAAAAGAAACCAGATGAAAAGATAGAGAGTTCCAAATACCAGGTCACTATTGAAGGGGAAATATATCTGCAGAGAGATATTGAAATGTGTGTGTATATGGCCCGGATATATACAAACATCTCTCCAGATACAGCAGCAAATGCAGAGTGTCCACATCTCCAGGCAGATTTGTAAGTCATAGGTAATGATCAAGGAACACAGGGAGCAATAGTTCACCATAATTTGGTCATTTGTCGAGGGATTACATATTTTAAAATCCACATTTAATTCAAAGACCTTGTATTTAAAACATTTCCAGCTGTTTTATACATTTTTTAAGCAATAGTAAGATATACAAGCTGCAAGATGTAGGCCTTTACATTACATTTCATTTTCTCCATTTTTTTTTTTTTCCTATTCAAACACGTGGCTACTAGCAGCTTTTTGTTATGCTTGCTCCAGTATGTTGAACATTCAGTCAACCTTCACTCAGGATCATTTTCATTAATGCATGGACCAAAGAAAGAAAATAAACATGGACCTGGCCTCGAACGCATAGACTGAAAAATGACATCCCCATCTTTTCCCATTTCATCTCCTGAGACATATGTTAAGATGGCAAAATAGTTGCTTGGTGGTGGTTGTGAAATTCACAGTGTTTTGCCTGCAACACATATACATACACATATATATTTTTTGCTTTGCTTTGTGTTTGTGATGAATGGAGCAAAAATAGATACATAAATAAATAAATACATAATTCAATAAATAAAGGTCAAAGGAAAAGAAGGGGGAGAAATGCAAAAACTAAGGATATTCCAGAACCTTTCATTTGAGCAGGAGTGATTCATTCCAGCCCTGACAACAAGAAAATACCCCTTCCTGCACTGTCATTTTAAACTATAAATCCCTCCCACCCCTAATTCTTTAGAATAATATTTGAAATTCATGTGCAAGCTATCACAACCTCAGAGTGTCCACATTCCAATTAAGCATTGTAAAGAATCGGCTTTAACTACTAACTAACTTAGACATTTGGGGAGTTGGGTCACTGGCCATTCCTCTCATGGGATTTTCTGTAACAGTGATATATGGCCAAACCAAAGGTCAACATTAAAAATAAAGGTCCTCAAACAGGAGAGGAAAAATAAAAACTAGGGAAGCAAAAGAATTGAAGGTATGTGTGTATATACAGTCATTTATTTGATTAGATATAATTTAACATTATTGGTGAAATAGACTGTCCAGTTTGCAAAAAGAAAGGTAAAATAAAGATAAAAATCCCATTCTGGACCAGGAAATCCTGTTGTCACGATGCTTTGCAAAGGACAGCATTCTCCACTCTTGGTTGGTACATTCATACTCGGATGTGGGAATCCCTAAGACTAGCTCATCTCGCCGTGGGGTCTTGGATTTCTCACTATTGGCCTTCGAGACACTGGGCTCCCAACATTCCAATTTACACCTTGAATGCTTAGACTCTGAACACAAGTGTAAGGGGATCACAGTGGGACGAGGACAAGGTGAGCATAACACAAATGCGCACAAAGACAAAACAAAAAATCCATTTTCCTTTCCTGGACCTTTATATAAAATGATCTAATTCGGTCCTCATTTTCCTTTGCAAGGAACCAGAGAAAGGATTCAGTGTGGTGGGATGGCTTTTATTCAGTTGTTTTGGGAAGCACATTATCTTAAATATGCCTTCCACCCATGCAGTACTGCACAGAGTTAAAAAGTGTGATGTAGTCCTACCCACATGGAGAATGGGAGCACTAACAGCAAGAGGACATTGCAAAGTTTTGGTTATTTAGCAGATTTTAAGCAAATTATTCATACTGCACCCTACTTATAATTATCTCTATTATTGTGTGCCTATAAATTTATACATAAACACACAAACACACTATGTATGTGCATTTGTATATGTATAAATCAAGTATTTATAACACATATATAAATACATGAAAATATCACAGGTAGCACTGATGTGAACACATGTATAATATGAATTCTGATATAATCTTTTATAGCATAGTTCAAAGTGTTTTCTAAATAAGCCTGATTATGACATTGGTTCAGTGTACAAGGATTTAGCTGAAGCTAAAAGCATGATTATATATCACAGTATCTCAGCTGCTTGTCAACTCATGTATTTCCTTTTATTCTTCTAACTTCACACCCTGCTTCGTGAATTTGTTAGCGTGCTTTCTCTCCTGAATGCTCGTTTCAATATTAGAGTTTCTAGTGGACAGAATCATGAAGTTCAGAGTCAGAGTACTTGGATTAAGTCCCAGTGGTGCCAGAAGCTAAGCTGGAGACTTCTAGCATGCATCTGAGCTTCTTTGAGTCTCAATTTCCTCACCTATAAAAAACAGGAATAATTTGCTAACATGTGTGAAAAGTGTTTGGAAAACTATTAAAAAATTTGTAAACGGAAATGATTGTCAGGCTGGGTCTGGGCTAGAGAGTCAGGTTTATCACTGCTACTGCTGTAGTTTTTAGCATCTTTGATGGTAGGCCATATTTGGTGACCATTACATTTTAGAATGAGGATGCTACTATTTTTCTAAAAATTAGACCATGAGAAAGGAAGTGTTGGAGGGACAGTGACAAGTATTTTAAGATATTCTGTGGCTCATTCAGCTACTTTAAAGCAATCAATATTCTTTCAATGCAAGACGTCTCTGAAGTCAGCACATACTCTTGAGACAACAGAGGAAACAATAATAATCAGTAATATAAGTAACTATAAAACTTTGCACTTGCATAGAACCTTTCAAGACCTTGAGGGACTTGTTGGAAGGTGTAAGGAGAATTTATTTTTTTTTTTTTTGCTTTCAGAGGAAAACGTACAACTGGAATGGAATGCTCCCATCTTCTCATCTGCCTTACACTGCACAGCCCTCCTTGCATTTGATCCCTTAAAGTAGTACCTCCTTTGCTCTCTTAAAATAAAATAATTGCAGCTTCTTCCCCCAGAGCAGCTGGCCGGACATGCACAGGTACCAAACCTGCGTAGGTTTTCAGGTCATCGCTGATGGAATTTAGAGAAGTGAGAATACAAATCTGCCCCTTCCTTCCTGCTTCACGGGGTTCCACAGTGTTTTAACAGTACCGTGGATCCTTAATAGGATATACACATGCACGTATATATCATTGAGATATGGCTTTCGTTAGATTATTATGTGTATTCTGGAGGGTTTTTTTTTCACTGCCAAAGAGAACAAACAACTCAAACCCCATCTCTCCTAGGCCAGCACAGAACTCAAAGGGACTGTAAGGTTCATATTGTCCAACCCCCTTGTTTGACCACAGATGCGACTGGATTTCCTTTTGTTCTCGGGTAATTTACATTTTTGGATTTTTGAAAACCGGCTTTCAATGCCTATAATGGAAAACAAAGTGTTCCAGTAATTAACGGGCACAAGCAAAACCTAAAACAGAGCTATTGCACCTTCAGAAACAAATATGAAATAACATGACCTAAGATGAATTAAAATCACTCCCTTTCAATCTGGCTCATGTTATAAAGATGTCAAGTTTAGCAAAATTCCCCTCACAGAGGGTAGCAAGTTTTCTTGAGGAACAGAAATATTTTTCTTCCTTGGTATATCTGACCATCCAAATAAGTGTAAATTTCTATATGAATTTACGCCCTCTTTTTGCAAAACCAATGACTATGCCCAGAAGCACACCTCCAATGCTCAGTCTGGGCACAGCCTCCCATTGGCATGCTGTGCCAAAATTTTATTTTGACTTTTTTAATGGAGTGAAGAAAACAAAAACAGCATACTGACAGTGCGGTACACTTGGAATGAAACCACTCTCCCAACCAGAGCCCAGAGCAAGGGACTTGGCCTGTGTACACTGAACATTAACGCATGTGATGTCTTCAGGGTGAGGTTTCCTCTCCCTCAGGGATTGATTCTGCCCTCCCCACAGTTCTGTGGGTTCCACGTGGATGAGGGTATCCACGTTTCAGGGTCCATATTCATTAAAACCCATCACCACCATACAAGGCAGAGACATTTATCCTCAGCTATGACTCCGTTAGCTTCCCCTAATTGTATAAGTCATACCTTTCATGGATCTGCTTTGCCTACCAGGGGCACTGTGTCTGGAGTGGTAGTTTCTGCACACAAGGTATTAATCCACGAAGACCATGCACAATTTTGCTTGCACAGTTAAAAGGACGGTGGGAGTAGAAGTTGGGGGTCAGAGGGAAGTGCTATCTGAAAAGTTCAATATAAGAGAAACTTGCCTCCAAATTTATAGCTTGTCCTATCTTTTCCAAGTTCTTGGCTTTCCCACCTGACCCTGAAATGATCTCTGGACACAAATCCACCTTGACTGAACTTGACAAAGGATCAGTGGATAACACTTGAAAAACAAACCAGTGCTATCGTTGCGACCTACAAAGTCAGGGCTGTGTCTAAGCGAATGATGTGCCATCTTGTGTCTCACGGAAGCCATCTTTTCTCTCTACTGCACGCTAGTATTTCTGGTGATGGGCAAAGAATAGTCCATGGCACAGAGTTCAACAGTCTTTTTACTCCTCAGAAAGGTCCTCAGGGGAAGGTGCCGAATACATTCCTCCCAGCTAACAGTCGCTGGGTTGTTCCTAAGTAGGGACTGATGCCAGCTGATCCCAATGGTTGTCTTTGTTCCTCCCATACAGCGGTTTATAATAAATCTTCTTTCTCTCTGGTTTTAATCTCCCATATATAAAGGCTTCCCAGATTGAACACAGTTTTCCTTTTCACACACGGGCTTAAGCCATCCAAAAACAATAAGAACAGTAATAATAATAAATAAATAGAAGTGAATCCATAGAAACTCTCGATGTCTGTACAGCAGAAGTGACAAAGTTTAAGTCAAATATTTGTTTTCCCTTTTTTTCATCCACATCAAAGGCAGGAATACAACAAGGCATTGTTAGTTGTGGTGGGCAAACCGAAGTGTCTGCTGATATAACAAATTAGGTTTGTTAAGGCCTTTGTCTATGCAGAGTTAATAGTAATGCGGAAGCCAGATTGATCGAAAAGAAAGGGCGCGAACTGTGAAGCAGGGAAGACCAAGAAAAGAAAAAGGAAAGAAAAAGAAAAGAAAGGAACAAACCAAGGGAGATGGAAAGAGAGAAAGAGATAATGCCAAAAAGAAGTCAATACTGCGTCTACGGATGGAGAAGTCCACGCGGCTTCCCTCCGAGAGCTTCTCGCCATCTCTGCTGTTAATACTGTCAGTGAAGGAGAGCAGCTCGGGGCTTCCAGCGGCAGTTAAAAGATGTTCATCCTCTCGGCCCGTCTGAGGAGTGCGTCGGGAAGGATCGGTCTGGGGGAAGGGCCCTAGCCTAGAATATCCAGGTAGACCGGAGATGCCTTGGCCAAGTTCTGAAGGAGGGTGTGGATGCCCTTGATGTTCTTCCTCATGTGGGGCTCCCGCTGCCAGCACCCCAGCATCAGCTCGTACACCTCCTGGGGGCAGGTGCGGGGCCGCTGCAGGACTCGGCCCTGAGTGATGCATTCTATCACCTGCATGGGGAGATCAAAGACAGGATGAGACGGGAGGAAAAGCAATGCCAAGCAAAGACATGTCAGAACAAAGAAGGGCAGAAGACAGGGCTTTTCACTGTTTATTTTTCTCAGAAGGAAGTGAGCAATTATTACATCGTTTAACCTCGATTGGTTTATATCAATGTGAATTCGATTGGATTATCTCCACTTTTCCAAGCCACTCTCATGTCACAAAACTGGTGGAGAAATAATTTATATGGAATGCTCCCAAACCTCACACCGGAACTCCCATGGGTTTTAGTTTTTACCGTCCTGAGATGGAACCCGAGTCCCTGTTGTGTTAAGGCGCTGACTGACCGGGCACCCCTCAGGCTACAGACATGAGCAGTCATACTGGATGATGGAATGGAGTAGAAAGACAGACATGGACCTCACTAGATGTGGGGTGCTTGACCAAGAAGCTGTGCCTCATATATAGACATATTTGCAAAAAGGTTAGAACAGGAAAACAAAATGCTTGCATTTTTCACTGAAAGTTAATGATCTAGTGAAACGTGTAAAAATGGAAGAAGCTTGAAACGTCATTGGAACAATACCAAAAACCTGTCTGGACCGTAGGGTGCTGGGATGCTACATCTGCTGTTAATTCATCACCTGAGCGGCAGGAGGTGGCTCTTCAGTGCCCTCACCAGAGGAGTGAGGCCAAATTGGCAAATACTGTGCCTTTCTTCCTCCAAAACTCTTAAATTCATGAGCGACTATACTTTGACCATGAAATTTAGATACATAGCAGGCTATCTGGGAAGTGCTGCCCCCAATGAAGCCACATAGGATCATGTCCTGACTTCCAGCCCTAAAGGAAACCCCCGCAGAGGCTGCCTCTGGAGTCTCAGCCAAGGCTGGGGTCTCGGCCAGGCCCACTGCACACCTCGTTGTTGGACAGCTGGTACCAGGGCTGTTTGCCGTAGGTGAAGATCTCCCACAACACGACCCCCAGGCTCCAGACGTCACTCTCCGTGGTGAACTTCCTGTACATGATGCTCTCTGGAGGCATCCATCGGATGGGAAGCATCGTGTGGCCACCGACCTGCAGGGAAAGGGATCAACAAGGAGGTGTCAGTCACCCCGGAACCAGGTGTGGAAGGGACGACTGTGGGGGGATGTTGTTTTCTTTCCTTTTTTGTACTTATTAATTTTAATTACTTATAATCATATAAGGAATGTATGATTTCTTCACAATCTCAAGCAACAGAGACAGAGGGCAAGGAATGATCAAAATAATTTTTTCATATTATTTGTGATTCTCTTTGTTTCAAAACCAGATAGGAGCAGAGATGGTGATTAGATGGATATTCATCTTGGACACAGACAAACACACACACACACACACACACACACACACACACACACACGTACTCTCTGGTAGGAGGATGGCTCAACCTTGTAAATAACAGGATAACTTTGATCAGGATGACAGGTAAGGGCTCTGCATCCAAAATGACCTGCCAGTGACTCTACTTCCTTGACAAAGTCAGAGCCTCTTTCTGCTTTCGGGTGTTAGGTGTGCACAGTGCTGATTCAGACCCCCTCACCACAATCCAGTAGTGGGCTGAGAAGTTTCTATTCCCATTTTCCAGATAAGGCAACTGAGGTTCAGGTTGCTTATAGACACAAAGAACTCAGGTTTCTGGACTCCAAGCTCAAGACTTTCATCTACTACAGAACACTGCTACTTATATTATTTACAGCAATAAATAAATACATTTTTTAAATGCCCATTTTAGTGAAAACACTGAGGTTGAGGCACCAGACGCCAATCGCATTAGCACAGGCAAAGAGAGTTTTCTTTGATAAAGTAAACTTGTTTTTGATTTCTTACTTCATGGAGGAAAGTTAGGAATTTCATTTTCAGGCTTGTAGCACATCAGGGCTGTGATTTTAAAGCCATGAACAGATTTCTGCACAGCTGCCCCATGGCTGGCAGCTCCTGTTTTTCATCCTGTGATCCCCAGCCTCTACCAGGCTACAGGACATGCCCGACACCTGGCAGCAGGTGGGCTTACACTACAGCGGGAGCTAGACCTCGAAGACAACTCTCAGCCCCTGTGTTTTTAGAGTAATGTCCCATAGAGTCTGTGCCCCATTCTAATTCTCAAAGTCCATTTATGATTCATTAAAGGAAGGAAATAACAGTGCCTGAAAAATGTGCCTCCACCCTGTAGCCCAAGGAGCTCAAGTGTCGGAGACGTCTAATGTGCTTGGTGATTTCCTTCTCTCTCAGCAGTGACAGGTCGTCTCTCATGGACCTGCCTGATATGTCTGAAGGTGGTGGCAACACTCACCCTCTGGGTTGATACTCAAACCACAGCCAGTGTGGCACAGGCACCGGCCAAGCAGAAAGGATGTGGACGGTAAATCCGCGCAGCCATCTCGGCACATTTATGGCCTGGTGAATACCCTCCCTGTTACAGCCCTGTGACTCTCGTGTGCCCAGGACTTCGGGAAAGGGAATCTGCTACTATACATGGAGGACCCAGTTTCCAGATGTTCAGCAGGACTCACAGTACAGAGGTGGAATGGCCCCACCAGGTCTGGGCAGCACACACGACAGCACCAAGAAGAGGACTGCTTTGTGGCCTTGCAGGGGCTACCACCCTGCAGGGCTGGGCACACTTCGCCTCTGTCTACGTGCCGGGAAAAGGCTGGGCACTTTGGCACATACATTTTCAAAGATTATTAATCCCTGGAATAACTTGGCCCCTGAGTTTTTAGAGTAATGCACCATAGAGTTTCTGTTCAATTCTAATTCTCGAAATCCACTTATGATTTATTAAAGGAAGGAAATAACAGTGCCTGAAAAATGTGCCTCCACCCCATAGCCCAAGGAGCTAAAGTGCCAGTCTCCTTGCCATTCTCTGAAAGCACCGTTGGTAGAGCTCCAGATAGTTTACAAGACATCTATACACAGTCCCATCTAATTTAACGAACACACCACAAAGGACCCAGGACTCTTGGTGGCATCTCTGGTCTGCAAATGACAAAATTGCTCTCAGCAGTTATGGGATCTTGCCTGAGGTGACACTTCGGCACATGGTGCAGATAGAACTAAGGTCTAACACACTGACTGCCACACTAGAAAAAAATTTTTTTCTTGGGGCCATGGTGTTTTATTAGGAAAATAGAATAAAAACTTCAAAAACAAAACAATCCTTTCTAATCTAATGAAAAATTTGTTACTGTTTTCTGCGCTTGAGTTATATGCAATTAAATTGTCAATGTTAATTGTAACCATAAAAACATCAACAAGTAGGATTTTCATGAACCAACTGCAGGGTTTGCCCAGGGGGCCACCCAACCCATAACATGCATGCTACAGCATGGCAGTGTGAGTTGCCTGTGCACCATGCAGCTCCCAAGGTAAAGAGACCTGTGAGTGGCCCCAGGCTCGAAACTAGCATGAGTTAAATACAACTCGCATGGTAGTTAATGTGCTAAACTTTCTAATAGACCATTTTCATCCACATAGCAAGCATTTACTGGGGACCTCCTAAGGTACAAAACAGCATTGCTCTAACTATCATGCAAAAATAAGGACAGGGTGGAATCAAAGGGAAAAATAATATCTTCCTCTAGGGACCTTATTCTTACATTGCCCATTTTAACCTTTTCCCCACCTTATAAAGAAGAGCTCATAACATCAGCACACCGTACTGCAGGGGTGCGACTAGCTCAGTTGTACATTTTGTTGTCACTATTTTTTCTCATGAGACAAAACACAACCCCAGTGGTCAAAGCGACTGAGAGAAGTGGGGGTCACGATGAACACTGGGACTTTGTCTTCTTGCTGTGCTGTCAGAGCTGTGTTATTTAAACATCCGTGGAAGGGAAGTATCTTGGACAACGAGTGGAAGTGTCTGCTAATCTTGCTGAAAGAAGTGTAGGGCTTAAGAGAGGCATTTTTCTTTGGGAAGGAATGGATAACTTCTTGCAAAGAGCCTTTCTGCAAGAGCTATTTGTAAGTGCGACACCTTGAATTTTACAGAAATTCTAAAAAATAAAAGGCCCAAAAGGGTAGGCAACTACATGGCTGGGAGGGTTTCAGTGTAAACTTAGGTGGAGTAAGAAGGCCAGGTTCTTAGTGAAAACGATATAATTATTTCTTTTATGGAAATATTGAAATTAGAATCCAGATTTATGATGAATGTATGATTGATGTGCGGGGGTAACAGAAGACATTGGTCTGTCGGGGTAACGAGAGGGCTGGGATATTATGACCCAACATGGTGTTCTTTTGAACATCAGTCCCTCAGAATGTTAAAAGCTAGCTCCCTCTAAAAAGTCCTACATCAAGTGTGTCAAATATACTATAACCTGTAACCCTCTTCACTTCTAGAAGATTCATAATGCCCTGAGCTTTATTAAAGTATCTGAAGAGTCTGGCAGGAAAGAAATGATTTAACTTTAACATGGTAAATTAAACTAATTTGAACGTATGTTTGTGGGAGAGAGAGAACCACCTCTATATGTCTCCTAGAACCAGACAGCTAAAAAACACACTTTGGGACTTGTTAATGTAGCAAGAGACCAGGTTTTCCATCTCCACCTGGGCATTTGCAGCTGCAATGCAGTGGGCGAGACCCAATTCATGATGTTAGACACTTTGGGTTCCATAGTGCACTTACTTGCCTGTTTCCTAGTTGAGTAATCTTGACTAGTTGCCAAACCTCTCTGTGCCCAAGTTTCTCCAACTATAACAGGTAGGGAACAATATATACCTCCCAAGATTGCCATGAGCAAATACTCAAGCAGACTTTTGTGAAAGTGCTTTATAAATTGTAACGTACTAAATGTTTCCAAGGTGTTGCTTCTTTCTCTGGGACCCTCACTATCTTACTTCCTCCATGGGAAGCAGCCATCCTGGAGACACTAAGGAGAAGAATCAACACAGGTGACTCTGCCATACTCCTCACTTGGCCATGACCAAGTGGCTTCTCTGACACCAGTGCCACTGTACCAGGTTCCCTGTCCTGTATGGCTAGTGGCCAAGAAAAAGCGCCTGTTTCCTTTAAAGGAGAGGGAAAATAAAGATTCACATTTTGATTTACATGTTTTCTCATCTGATCATTTATTTTCTGCTTATAGTCTCTTTGGGACAGATTTTGTTCCCTTTAATTCTTTCAAGAATGCCTTCTGAGATTTCACACGTGCTGTTATAAATAATGCTTTCCTTGTTCTGATGTCAAATGGGTGAGTGGTGGGACAATCTAATAAAAGTTCAGACAGGGTTCACAAGTTTTTCAAATCCGTTTAGAACATTTCTGAACGTTTCTTTTGCAGTCTTTTCTCAGGATTTTGGAGCATGTCACAAAAGTAGACCAAAAAAAGAGAGAGAGTTGCTGTTGTTACAAATTACTGTCACATTCTAGTCACAGCCACTTGATGGTTTTGGGGCCACACAAAACCACACAGTGTGCGGCAACAAACACAATGAGACATTTGTTTTGTATTGTGCTACTTTGGCAACCTGCCCTCATGCCCTTGCTTAAATGTTTGTAAGATGGAATGCCATCCCAAGTATGACACTGGGAGTGAGAGGCAGATTCTTGCTCTGCATGGCCTGATGTGCCGTGGTGCCTCAGAGGCTCTCCATCAACCAAGTTGGGTCAGGACCCACCAGATTGAACTGATGCAAGATGGGAATCCCAGTTAGCTAGAGAGTTGGCTTGGACTCACTATTTTATTTTCCTCAACCCAAGAGGCTGGGATTTCTAGTTCCTGCTATGCTATTTATTAACCAGCTTGGGCAAGTTCCCTTAGGTTTGGCCTATTTCTCTATTGGTAAAATGTGAAGGGTTAGGGCTGCTTGTGTTTATTTGCAGTATAAAACACTGTGGCTCTGTAATCACCCACCCCTACTGTGCCACCATAACCATCCATCAACACATCGTACCTCACTGTTTACAAAGAATTTCCACTCAATTATCTCCCTTGAACCCAACAGTTACTCTTTGGGGTAGACATTGGCTTGTCTAGATATTAGAAATAATGCCCCTAAAATTCAGACAGTTCAAGTAGCTTACCTGAAGC